TTAGTTGTGTCATTATCGATGTCTCGGATCTCAATTACCTCCTGTGGTTCTTTGCAGGTTACTTTTGCGTCTTCTTGCAGAATGTCTGTAATGGTCTTTCTCAATGTTTGGCCTTTATCGGTGCTCTTTCTTGAAAGAGTTATCAGCATATCTCCAGCATTGGTCTTATGGATCTTCTCTACCGTACTGCGGACCTGGTCATCAGGGACGTCCTGTTTTATTAGACGCAGGATCTCGGCGTACTTTGCTTTCTCTGTCAGCCTGATAATGAAGGCATCCGGTCTGATCCATTTCCGCGGTTTCTTTCGCTTAGGCTCCGGCCTGGGCTCCTTTGAGGTCTGCTTTGCGAGCTGCTCTTTGGCTAGTCTCCTCTTCTCCTTCTCTCTCTGTGTGTGTGTGTGTGTAAACCTCTTGTAACTTTTGAACGACTTGACCGATTTCATCGCGGTTGGTGTCATTCGAAAGGGCTTCACTAAACTTAGATTTTCTGAAAATTTGAACCGATTCGGACCGGTAGATTTCGAGAAAATGCAAAAAAAGTGAAAAAAAAGTAAAAAAAAAAGTTGTTTTTTTTTATTTTTTTTAAATATCTCCGAATTGGCTGAACCGATCGGTCTCAAAAACTAATCAGCTCTTAACCTTGAAAACCCCCATCGATCACCACCAAAAACGTTATAATCAGTTGATGCGTTCGTGAGATATCGTTGTCGAAAAAAATCGAAAAAAGTGTTTTTTTGTAATAACTTCGAAATTCATGGCTCGATCGATTTAAACTTGAAAATTTTTCATGGAGCTTCAAAAACTGCGTCGATTGCCGCCAACCGCGTGAAAATCGGTTCATTCATTCAAAAGTTATTGCCGTTTGAAAATTCAAAAAATTGTGTCTTTAAACTGCTATCAGAGTTTTGAGCTCGAAGAGCTCAAATTGATACAAAAATAAGCTCGAAGAGCTCAAAAACGTAATGTGTAGTTTGAAGCGTTCAAGTACAAAATGAGCGGGAAGTTGCAGGGATGGCCTTTAGGGTGAACCGTTTTTCTAATTTTTTTTTTTTCAATCTAGGACGCTTATTGGAGAAGATTATAAATGGAGTAAGACAATTTTATCACCTGTAAGTAAAAAAATTTTTTTTTGTAAAATGCAACAGTGAGACTGAAGAAAAATATTATTTTAAAATTGGCTTACTTGTTTGAATGTCTCGAGCGATAAATTAACAAAATATCCCAGTGAAAATACAACAGGCTTCAATGTTTGTAAAATAATGAAGACAAATGATTTTTTTGTTTTTATGCTTAAGTTTGTCCAATCGGTATTGTACGCTGAGAAATTTAGATCTTCAAACTGGTAAAGATAATTGGAAGTTTTAGTAGTATAAGATATAAAGATTTTTTTGTTTACATATTAAAAACGTACTTTGAGGATAACTTGATGAGCTGCCATAGTAATCATAAATATTTGCAATACCAATGCAATAAAAAATATCATTTCACTTTTAAACTCGCTTGAACTTGCAGAAAGATTCGCTAAGCTGTAGGCAGTCATACAAATTTGAGTTGAACTTAAACAATAATTTAGAAGTATTGCTCGTGAAAATATTTCATGGACTTCTCTGGAGTACCTAAAAAATTTAATTTTTTTTTTTTAATTAAATATTCCAACAGTTTCTTTATTTTAATAATTTATATTTTTTCAAAATTAAAAAAAAATTTTTAGTTATAAAAAAATTTACCAATCCGTTAATTTTTGATTTACTTTGTCACTTTTTTTTAATATATTGTGACGGAAGGAAAAAAATATTTATTTATTAATGAGAAAAAAAAAAAAAGTACGTAGAAAAAAAATACACGAAGGAAGAAAAGTTTCGCGCATGCGCGAAACTTACTTGACGGTCACCGTCAAGCAAAAACGCCAGTTGCCAGTAAGGACTTGGCAGTTACCGCCAAGTTAGCATCGTGAGAACGAGATGCGCTGTAAAGGTGCGCATAAGTCAAGACCAGTCAAGGAAAATCGGAGCTCCCGGGATAATCGGAGCTGGCGATGCGCCGCGAATATGCGCGCCTGTCAAAGTGCAGTGGAAGGGGTAGTAGGAGCTCCCGGGCCAATGGCAGAGCTTATTTTGTCCCCGCTACCAACTGAAACTACTATATAAACCGGAGTCGCGGAGCCCCGGGGCACTGACAGAGCGACAGACAGATCATCGACACAGACTGATCATTTTGGAGTTGCACTCCAGCTACCAAAGGAATCTCGTCGATAAATCGGTCGCTGTGAGTGATAAGAGTGTTCTCGACAAGTGCATACGGCCTATGAATTTAGACCAAAACCGCTATTCTAATAGCGAAACACATCAAGAAGTGGCTCAACAGAGCGCTTCTATTAAATTAACAACAAATCACACTGTACCAGAGAAAAAACAAGACACCGAACCTAAAATTGCCATTAAAAGAAAAAACCAGATCGCCAACATGGGAGGCTCAAAAAATCAGAAAATCGACTCAGTGTCAATCAAACTACAGAACAGATTCGATTGCCTCACCGATACAACACAAGATGGAAAAGAAGATGAAAAGAATGAAGCAGAAGAAGAAATGGAAACAACACCAACTACGAAAACTAAAGTTTTACCAATAGTCGTAGATATTGCAACCATCAATCTGGATTACACTAAAACACTAATCAAAAAAGTCAAAGAAATAATGCCAGAAACTACTATGAAATACACACCGAAACAGCTCACTTTTTACACGAAAAGTGTAAACAACTATCAAACCATTATTGAACATCTAAACAAAAATAAAATTTGCTACCACACATACAGTCGAAAAGAAGATCTCGATAAAAAATTCGTCATCAAGGGCTTGCCACCTATTGATATTGAAGAATTAACAACCAGTTTAACTGAGCAAGGTGTCATACCTAAAAAACTAGCAAAGATGAAACGACAAAAAAAACCATCTGACCCCACTGAAGAGAGCTTTGCCACATATTACTTAGCAGTTACTCCAGAAGCAGACGCATCTAGCATCTTTAAAATTAAACACCTATGTGGACTGAGAGTCAAATGGGAAAAATATAAAAACCCGAAGCAAGTCACCCAATGCTATAATTGTCAGAGATTTGGCCATGGCACCTCCAATTGCCATTTGACACCACGGTGTGTCAAATGTGCTGAAAACCATTTAACAAAAGATTGCACAAAAAAGCCAGAAGAAAATCCTAAATGTGCCAACTGCAAAGGTGAACATCCAGCCAACTACTCACAATGTGAAACCTATTTGAAACAACTGAACAACATCGAACTACAAAGGCAAAAGAATAACCATAAGAAAATGCCACCAGCACCAGAAGTCAACGAGAGAAATTTCCCTCAACTACAAGTGAAACGACGTCCTAACCACGAACAGCAACAAGACCCATCAGCAGCAACAACAACAAACTATGGTAATTCTAGTTTTAGTTCCAAGGTAAAAAATCCATTTCAATTTAAACAATTTGAAGAAAATATAAACGATTTCCAAGATCTTATAAATGAATTAAATAAATTTAATGAAATCTTCAATATTAAGTCTATGCTAAACATGATTAGAAATCTTAATAATTTAATGAAAGATAAAAAAAGCGATTCAGAACGTTGCCTAACACTATTTAACTTCCTCGATAACGTGAACAATAATGAACAAAAATAATTTATCACTTAATTTAAAAATAGCACATTGGAATGCCAATGGTTTGACACATAAATGGTCTGAACTCAAAAACTTTATTAATCATAATAACATAGACTTAATGTTAATTAACGAAATTCGTGCTTCACCAAAATACCAATTTAAATTAAGTGGATATACTAGTCATAGATTAGATAGACCTGGTCAGAATGCAGGCGGAGGCCTTTTAATTCTAGTAAAAAGCAATATTAAACATAGTCCTTTAAACTTAAATTATAATTTTTCAACCCTAGAAGCTATTGGAGTTAAAATAGAAAACTCATTAGCAGTAATATCAGTTTATATGTCAGACCGACTCTTAATAATAAAGTAAATGTAGTTGACACTGAAGATCTCAATAGGCTGATGGGCTGTGCTTCAAAGGTCATAGCTATAGGCGATTATAATGCCAAACATACAACATGGGGGTGCAAAGCATCTAATGCTTGCGGACGAACCATTCATAAGTACATTAACAATAAACACTTAACAGTAGTAGCTCCTCAAACCTACACCCTCTACCCGACGAACAATGGACAAGCAAGTATTGTTGATTTCGCGATAGTTAAAAATTGCAATACAATATCTAATATAGAAGCAATTAACGAATTAGATTCTGACCATCTACCGATACTTATGGAACTAGGCATTTCTGATGAAAGAAGAAGAAGATTATAAAGAGGAAAGATTTGATTGTTTGTTTGTTGGCATTGAATAGGCTCCGAAACTACTGAACCGATTTAAAAAATTTTTTCACTGTTGGGAAGTTACACTATCTCCGAGTGACATAGGCAATATTATATTATGATTGATTTTGAAATTTTTGTTAAATGCGCGTGAGCGGATTTTTTTTTTTTTTTTTTGGTTTTATAAAGAATCTTTGTTTTCAAGGTTTAACATTTTACATATAAATATAAGTAATAAATATTCTTATAAAAACTTAAACTATAATTTTCTCAAATCAAATTTAGTTGTTACCTAATGATAATACTATCCAAAAATCCGTTATTAATATATTTTGTTACCTGTTCTATAAACTATTAAATAGCTTTTGCTTAACGATAATAATTGACAATGTCATGGAAAAAAAAGTAATTAGAAAATCCATTTTAACAATAATGGGCCTTTAAAGACTTATATTACCCGTGCGCGGATTAGTAGCCGGAGCGGACTACTAGTTTTTTTATAAAATAATAATTTGAAACTAATTTTTCTAGTTTGTTTATATAAAGCGTCTTTATTACAGTGTAAAAAATAATTTTTCTACTTATATTTTATTGATAGGATTTGAATTTCACATAAAATTTTTTATACTTACCTCAAAACTTCATTATGATGATTAATCCATTCAGCGATGAGAATATTACATGCATTATTAACGACATCAGTGTTCACCACCAAATCACTAATTTTGTTCATATCGAAGACAGTTTTTCCAAGGCGATACTCCAGAACACTTATATGACTGGAGACTAACAGCATCGATCCTACGTAAAGAGTGTCGAAGGCAACATGAACCCACGAATCGATAAAAAATGTATACAATTGATGAACAGCAGTTGCCAGAAAAACATTTTTCCTTGTATAATCATAAGGAAACCATGCCCTGTAAGGCAGAACGCCAGGAATTTCTATAATCTATATTGAGGCTTCCAGAGTAACCGCTACCGCAACTGTGTAAAAAGCAACAGAAAAATATGTTACTAAACTTTTTGAAGCTTATTGCAATCGCTCAAGCTGTAAAATATTTTTTTTATTAATATATTAATAGAAAGCGTCAACTTACTTTGAAAGTTTTACGTATTTCTTCAGAATATCTTCTTCATGGTCGTCGCTAACTTTAAAAGGTTTCAAATTTAAAACGTTAATAGCTTCTAGAATTAAATTACGGTTTATAATAACTCCAAATATTTTTCCAGTTGCAGCGACGACTCCCAACATTTTGGCGAGACCTTGAGTGAAATCGTCGACTGTCTTGCTGGATAAAGCTATGTCTGTAAACTCAGTTGTTATGAAGAAAATATTTTTGAAGATGATAAAGCAGGTGTAAGTATTGTAAAGTAAAGACTTGCAGCCCCGCCAATCGATGGGTCGCCAAAGGCCTAGCAGAGTCAGTATGATAAGACTGTATGTGAAAGGAGTATTTGCCATCATATAGATTCTAATGAGAATAAGAGGGTATGCAAGTTGTTCTAAGACTGAACGCAAGAAGACAAGTCTGTTCTCAGTCTCAGTTGTTGATTAATAATTCATTGCGCGAATTTAGAATTCAAATTGCTGCGATTATCTATAGGAGAAATTGCGGCGATTTAGGTAAATTTTGAAAATTTGAAAGGAAGTTTGACAACACCCGAGTCGAAATTCAAGTTCCGTTTTAGCGGTAGAAGTGTCTCAAGTCGAAATTCGAGTTCTGTTTTAGCGGTAGAAGTGTCCAAGCCCTTTGAAGGCTGATTTGCCGCCTGAGAATGCGTCTGTTTTGATGGTAGAAGACGGCGCAGGTGAAAAATACCACTAAAACAGACGTACTTGGTTCTGTTTTGACCGTAAAAAATATCCGAAGAACATTTATTATTATTATTATTTTTGTTATTATTATTATTTTTATTTTTATTTTATAAACATTTGTTTATAAGAAAATGCATCACTTGAATCTTTAAATGACTATATATTATAAACTATTGAAGTTACGGCTTTTGTGATTCAGGACAATTTTATAGAGTAATTATCGGACTACTCAAAAATAATTTTTTTATATTTTTAATTCCATTTGCCCATTAGTTTTTTTTATTTATTCAAATTCTTACATGGTTAAGGGTACATTTTCTGGATTTTTTTGTCACATTTATGTTTACACACACAACAGATTATTATATGTAAAATCCAGAAAAATGTATCCTTGACCGTGTAATAATTTAAATAAATAAAAAACTGATAAACAAATCGAATTAAAAATATAAAAAAATTATTTTAGAGTAGTCCAATAATTACGCTATAAAATTGTCGTGAATCATAAAAGTCGTAATTTCAATAGTTAAAAAAGGTAGAATCATTTAATGATTTAAGTAATGCATTTTTTTATAAACAAATATGTATAAAAATTGAACCATAATAGTTATCGAGCATATAAAAAATTTATTATATAAATTAATAAATTGCCTAAAAGATCGTCCTGAAATTCAAAGACCGTGGCATCAATAGCTTAGAAGTTATAACAATTTCTAAGTTATTAAAATAGTTGATCGCTTCAACTTTGATGGGGTAAGGTATTTTAAATTCCAATAAAAAAATAGAGGACAATTTTTTTTACAGCTCTGATGCACGTGGCTGAACTTGTAATTTTTTAAAGCTACGGAAAAAAAATAAAATGAAAATACAAATTTTTTTATAACAAATTATTTACAAAATTAACAATGAAAATTCAAATGAAAACAGAATTCTTTTTTAATTATATTGAGAATTGTAATTGATGATTTAAAAAAAAAAAGATTTCTTAATAAATAATTTAAATGGTTGATAAATAAAAAAAACAATTGTAAACGATTAAAAAAATTTTTTAAGAAATTTTTTTTTTTTAATCGTCATTTCATTAAGACAATAAAATGACGAAAAAAAATTTTTCAAAAATATTCAACTTGTCTATTTGTTTATAACAAATTTTTAAACAACTAATGTTAAAAATTCTTTAGCCAAGCTACTATACGCAATATATTAATACAAAAACAACCGAAATTGAAGATTTCGGAAAAAAAATTTTTTTTATAACATTAGCTTGATATTTCAATTTTTGATAACTTTAAAAAATCATTATAAACAAATGAAAAAACTTTTCTAAACTTTTACAACGGAATCTTGTTCATTACTTATATAACAAGAGCTCCTAAAATAAAAAAAAAGTTATAAACATTTTTTTAATTTTTATGAGAGATTTTATGAAATCTCAAATCTACGAAAAATTTGTTAAATAACAATTAAATAACTTAAACAAAAATCAAGCTAAAATTTTTTTTTACACACACACACACACACACACACACACACACACACACGCACACACACACACACACGCACATACACACACATACATTTTTGAAAATTTTCAATTTTCTTAGCGGGAAGTTAAAAAAAGTTTGGAAAATCCAAAAGTGCACGCCTCATAACGCTCATTCATTTTTTAAGAAAAAAATTAATTGTGTAATTGATTAAAAAAAAAAAAAATTATAATTAAGTAATTTCTTACAAAGTATTTTTTATTTTTTTTTAAATATCGATGCCCTTTCTTCTTGTCATGCGCGCACGCAGTCTAAAAAAATCTAGCTTGATCAAGTGGCGCCATAGTTTTCACGTGACAAATAAGGAAAGTTCGTTTAGCTTTGTACGGTTGTATCGTAGTAAATTTTAATAAAAATTCAATTTAAAAAAAAATACGTAAGCTAGGGCACTGATATGCAATACGGACCCAGTTCATCGAATTCTTAAACTAATAAAAAAGATCCGGTCTTGAAATATCAATTTGTTCGGGAGTAATCGTTGGTACATCCAAAATGGGGTGACATCCGGACGTCCACGTAAAATTTTTTTCAAAACGTTTTTTTTTTTCAAAATAGCAACATAAAATGATTTTAGAAAGTAACAGATGGTTTAATTCAAGTGTTTTTTCAGTGTATATCTACTTATATCATTGTATAAGTGTAATATGGTTGTGATAGAGGCATTTAAAGGTCACAAAATTGCTTGACCTTAACGAGTCGAGTATAAAGCACAACCTCACGCGCTTCGCGCTATGAGGCGTGCAAAAAAATAATAATAAATAAAATAATAATAATAAAAAACAAAACAAAAAATAAATTAATGAAAAATTTGAAAAATAAAAATATTGACGGAATATTTTTTTTTTTTTTTAATGCAATAATAATTTTCTTAATTAAAATAATGCAATAATAATTTCCTTAATTTTAATCAATGGCACGAATTCTTCATATGCATGTACAGTTTAAAATGCATGTACAGTTTAAAAAATTTCATCATTTTTAAATATAAAGACACTTATCCCGCTTGTGGCTCCATCTAGAGAGAAAAAAAAAACCTAGTGATGTTGCAGGTTATAACTAATCAGAATCTAGGTATTTTATTTTAAATGTTTTAGCCAGTACTGCTTGGCGTATAGTTAGCAAACATTTTTTAATTCAATTTTTTTTTTTTTTTATTTATTAAATTTATTTCTTTTTTTTTTTTTATTATTATTATTTTATTAAATTTCGTATATACTCGTTATGCACAGAAGTACCAAAAAAAAAAAAATGAACTGCTTTACTTCATTTTAACTGGATTAATGGCGCCATCGTTTTCACATGAGGAAAATAAAGAAAAAAGAAAAAGTTCGTTTTTCTTTCTGTACGTGTATGTCATAGTGAATTTTAATAAAAGTCAATTTAAAGAAAAAATACGTAAGCTAGGCTACTGAAATGAAATACGGACCCAGTTCATCGCAATCTTGAACCAATAATCAAAACCCCGTCTCGAAATATCAATTCGTTCGGGAGTAATCGTTGGTACAAAATGGGGTGACATCCGGACGTCCACGTAAAATTTTTTTTGAAACGTTTTTTTTTCAAAATAACAACATGAAATGATTTTAAAAAATGAAATATGGCTTAATTTAAGTGTTTTCTCGGTGTACATATACTTTAATTATTGTATAAGTGTAATATGGTTGTGATACAGGCATTTAAAGATCGCAAAATTGCTTGACATTAACGAGTCGAGTGTAAAGCACAACCTCACGCGCTTCGCGCTATGAGGCGTGCAAAAAGAATCCGAGTGGGATTCGATCCCGAATCGCTAGCCATTTTAAAATATTTTTACTATTATTATTATGGTTAGTATTATGATTATTTAACGTCTGGTTTAATGGTAAACACGTCAGAATGGGAAAAAACTCCCCAAGTTACCGTTAAACCAGACGTACGCTCATGAAGCACTCAATGATATGACATCTGGTTTGATGGTAAAATTATCTGAAAGTTAAGTTGGAAAAAAGTACCGTCAAAACGGAACTCAAATTTCGACTCGGGCAGTTCCGTTTGAGACTTTATACTTGACAATTATATTCAGTCTGTCCTGATTAATATTTTAGTCGGTTCTTGTAAGAAGATGATAAATCTTCATGATTATGGTAAGATTTTTTTCTTAATTTATTTGTTTTAAATTATTGCCCGGATAAATTTCACTGATCAACAAAAAAAATTTTTTTTTGTGTAACAAGAAAAATTTTGGCTGATTCTATTAGGAATAAGGTCAAGTAGAGTAGAATTAGTAGTCTAGTATTTCAGATACGAATAGTTTTATTGTAAAATGATTTTTTTAACTTTTTTTAAATTACAAGTTATTTTAACAAGAATTAAATTATTATCAATGTTATAATATTAATATGAGTACATTTTTATGATTTTCTCCTGTATTTTGCGTCAGGAACATCCCTCTGTAATCCCCAGCAATAATCTGCCAGCATAGTTGGACTCCATTTTCCCTGGTATCGTTTTTCTATGGTAAAAATGTCTTGGTGGAATCGTTCCCCGTGTTCATCACTAACAGCACCCAAGTTTGGAGGAAAAAAGTCTAAATTTGAATCTAAAAAATGTATTTTTAAGGACATATTGCAGCCTAAGGCTTTATAATTCTCTAAAAGTTCCTCGACAATAGTTTGATAGTCATTTGATCTGTGATTTCCGAGAAAATTTTCAGTAATTTTTATAAATGATTCCCAAGCTGGTTTTTCCAAATCATCGAGTTGTTCTTTAAATATATCGTCTTTTATCACTTGCCTAATTTGAGGACCTACAAACACACCCTCTTTAATCTTGGCGTCACTGATTTTAGAGAATTTTTCTTTTAGGTATTGAAATCCAGCGCCATTTTTATCCATTGCTTTCACAAAATTTTTCATCAGGCCAAGTTTTATATGGAGAGGTGGTAAAAATATATCTTTAGGTTGTACTAATGGAGCATGTTTTACATTTTTTATTCCTGGAGTAAGAGATTGTCTTTCGCGCCAATTTTTCTTAACGTAATGATTCTTCCTATCTCTACTGTCCCATTCGCAAAGAAAACAACAAAATTTTGTATACCCAAGTTGCAATCCTAATAAAAGGGCAACAACTTTTAAATCTCCGCAAATTTTCCATTTATGTTCGTCATATTTAATCTTTTCTAAAAGAAATTTCATTGTTTCATAGGATTCTTTCATGTTAGCACCATAACCTACCGGTACGGAGGGAAGATTATTGCCATTGTGTAACAAAACTGCCTTTAAGCTTGTTTTTGAAGCATCGATAAATAAACGCCACTCTTCAATTTTGTACTGTATTCCCAAAATATTCATAACACCACAGACATTGTTACAAAATATTAAATCATTATCTTGTGAAAAAAAGCTTTTTAACTCTTCATCACGATGCCGAAATAAAGTCATTTTTGTGTTTGATTGCAATAAATTCCATCCTTTTAATCGAGATCCTAAAAGTTCTCCTTGTTGTTTAGACAAGTGTAAATCACGAACTAAGTCATTAAGATCTCCTTGAGATAGTAGGTGTGGCGTTTCTTCCTTGAGACAGATAGATGAAGAAATTTGAAAATCAGGATCAGTACTTTTATTCACTTCACTCAGCAAACACAAAACACAGCCACTTTTCTGAAATATAAAACACTGAATTAAAAAATAATAAGGAAAAAACAATTAAAATTAATATTAAATTTTACTGATAAGTGCCGGTACACGGAAACTAGTCCTAATCAAATTAATATACATATGATTTCGTGGAGAGGTTAGGTAAAAATTTCGAAATTTCTGCTTACTTTTCTTGTTACAAAATTTTGTTGATCAGTGTTTTTAGATTATTAAATCCAGTGAAGCTGAATAGTGAAACTAGTAAAATATAATTATTTTTACTGACAGTAATCTATTCTAAAATATAATATTTATTTAATAAAAAAGAACAGCTACATTACAAAAAGGACTATTAATTTAACTAGCGATAGTTTCTGCTCAATTCACTCAGTGGAGTAAATCACTGGAGAAGATTATAAATAGAGTATGATAATTTCATCACCTGAAGAGAAAAATCACTGGTATTGAATGAAATATAGAAAAAGTGACAAAGCGAAGCAAGAAGAAATAAAAAAGTATGTTATTAATTATTCTTCGTTAAAGCGCTTTGATTTCTTTTTAATTTCTGATGATTAATATTAAAAATTAAAAAATTTGCTCACTTGTTTGAATGATTCGAGCGATAGAGTTACAAAATAACCCGATTTAAAGATGACCGGCTTCATCGTTTTTGAAATAATTATGGAAATTGATTTTTGAAGATAAGTATTCAGGTCAAACCATTCGACACTGTAGACAGAGTAATTGAGATCGTCGAACTTGAATAATAATTTTATGTATTAATCAAATTAATTGATGGTTTTAATTTTATTTTATGTATACTTCGAGTGTAACATGGTGAGCTGATATGCAAAGAAGAAATATTTGCATTATCGTTCCAATCAAAAAAGGCACTTCGCTCATAAATACACCGGACAAAAACGGTACGTTAGAAATAGTGTAGACGGAAACGCAAATTTGAGTTGAACTCAAGCAATATTGAAGAAATATTGATCCGGAAAAAAATTCATACATACTTTTAGAAAATCTGAAATTTTTATATCAGAATTTTTTCATTAAAAAATTATAATTTTCATTAATTAAAATTATCAATAAAAATTATAATTTTCATTAATTAAAATTATCACTAAAAAATAATAATTATTGAAGTATGAAGTATACAGACCTTAAAACGGCGTTATGATGATTAACCCATTCTTCAATAAGCATATCGCCTGTATTAACTTCATCTTTGCTTAAATTTATATTGTTTGTTACTAATTTCTTCATGCTAGAGATTATTATTTCAAGGCGATGTTCTAGCACGCTTATTTGAACAACGACGCACAACATCATGCGAAGAAATAGAGTATCAAAAGCAACGTGAACGTACGCGCCGATGAAGAAAGTAAATAACTGAAAAGCTGCAGTTGTCTGGAATAAAATTGGTTTTGAATAATTGTAGGGAAACCATGCCCTGTAAGGTAAGACATCCGGGAATTCCATCACTGACATTTGACTCGATAAAATTCCTAAGGCGCCAATGGTAAATACTGCTAAATACAAAAATGTTATATAACTTTTTAAAATTATCTATGTTTAAAAAACCAGGCCTGAAAAAATTTAATAAAAAAAATTTCACATCTAAAAATTAAAAAAAATTATTTATGCATAAAAATTTAGCTGTGACTTGAAAATTTTTTTATTTTTTTTTAAGAAACAAATTTGTTCTAAAAAATTATTTTTAAAAAATTTCATTTTTTGGTACAAAAATTCTTTAATTTATCCAATATCTGCTCAATTAATTTTCAAAAAAAATTTGATAAAAATTTTCACATGTGATAATTAAAAAAAATTATAAGTGGAAATTATTAGAAGGATTTTATTTACTGTAATTAATTTGTTATAAAATAAAAAAAACTTTACAGCTGTTAGCTAACTTTAGTATCATGAAAAATTACTCTTTTAATTACAATTATTCTATTTAATTACAGTTTATTTTTTTCCAGGACTTTTATTATTTTTTCAACCGACTAATTATTTTTATTAATTTATCAAAAAATAAAATACAGTAACTTACTTGGAGATGCTGATGTATTTTTTCAGAACATTTTTTTCATCCTGATCCTCAAGCTTGAATGGTTTTAATTCCAAAAGTTTAATTCCTTGTAGAATCATCTTCCGGTTCAACATTATCCCAACGACTTTTCCGAACGCGCCAAGCTGACCCATTATCTTGGTCAAGCCGTTTGTTAAATCGTTGACTGAACTGCTGTTTGTTACTATATCTACCAACTCAGTCAGTATAAAAGCAAAATTAGCAAATGCAACAAAGTAAGTGTATGAATTGTAAAGGAGAGACTTCCAGCCGCGCCAATCAATGGGTCGCCAGAGACCGACCAGAGTCAGTATGAAGAGACTATGTGATAGGACAGCAGTAGTCATCGTATTGATTCTGATGAGGACAAGAGTGCTTGCTGGTTGTTCTAAGACTGAGTTTGCGGATGAGAAGTCTCTGTTCTTAGCTTCAGTTGCTGATTAATTATTCATTGCATGAATTTAGAATTCAAATTAAAGCGATTATCTATAGGAGAAATTGCGGCGATTTAGGTAAATTTTAAAGGAAGTTTGTAGTACTGAAAATTGCAGAAAAGGGTTTCAATTATTTAGAGAACAATTTGCAGAATTTAAAATTAGAAGCTATTGTTTGCTTTTGTAATTTTGTTCTTAAACAGAAAAAGTTATTTGTCGATAGAATTTTACTTGGACAATTTTTATCAAAACTATTCTTCTTTAATTTTACACTTTGCAATATATATAATATTTTTTTTAATATTGATTTTCTTTATTTCAGAATTTTTCGAGCAATCAGTTCAATATTAATGGATTGTTTTTTTTTTCAAAATTTATATTAATTTAAAAAAAAACAATTTCTTCTTCAAAATGTATTTTTGGGTAAGTTTGAACCACCCGTTTAATTATTTTAATTATTTTGTAAGCTTATAATAAAAGAAGAAAACATTTTATTCATGTCATGACTAAAATTAAACTTCTATTGGAAAAATTATTAAACCATTAGTGTATAACTTATTTTTTATTTAATAAAATAATTTTCTGCATCAAAAAGTGGCTATTAATTTTAATAGCAGTATGTTTCAAGTCCTATCCCATTAACAGTGATCATTGAAGTAAATTATAAATAGAATACGATAGCTTCATAACCTGTAAATAAAAATAGTATAAAAATTTTAAACAATTGCTTCGATATATACTTCGTTTTATTTTTATTTTCAAAATTAAGTTATAATAAGGATACTGAAGTTATTTCACAGTTGTCAATTTTTTTGATTATTAATTATTATAATAAATAAATTACAATAAAAAACAAATGCTTTAAAAAATTTCTCCACTGACAATTTTTTTTAATTTTCATGTGGAATTTTTTTATTAAGTTTTTTTTTTGTAATAATTTGCTACAAAATTATAAAAAAAATTTTAATATCAGTTAACTTCAGTGTCTTTAATAATAAATATCGAATATTTTAAAAATGACTTACATGTTTAAATGATTCAAGTGACAAAGTTACAAAATATCCCGAAGTAAATACAACAGGCTTTAATGTTTGAGAAATAATAACGCAAATAGATTTTTGGAGCTTAGTGTTGAGATTAAACCAATCGGTACTGTACACAGAGTAATTGAGATCTTCAAACTTTTAAAAATAATTTTCTGTGTTAAAAAAAAAAAAACTGTTGATGTTTGATTTGATTAAAAGTATACTTTTAGAGTAACTAGGTGAGCTATCATGCAGAGGGTGAATATTTGTGTTGTCGTTCCCATTAAAAATGGCATTTCGCTCACAAATATACCGGAGAACAGGGGCACGTTGGACATGATGTAGACAGTAATGCAAATTTGGGTTGAACTCAAGCAATATTGAAGAAATATTGGTCCGGAAAATAGTTCATACATACTTTGAGAATATCTGAAATTTTGATACCAAAATTATTTCATTAAAAAATTATTAATTGTAATTATTGAAGTATACACACCTTAAAACGTCGTTGTGATGATTGACCCATTCTTCAATAAGCATAACACATGCATGATTGACTTCATTTGCGTTTAAATCGATATTGTTTGTTAGTAATTTCTTCATATTAGACATTACCTTTTCAAGCCGATGTTCTAGCACGTTTATTTGAATAATTACGCAAAACATCATTCCAAAGTACAGAGCGTCGAAAGAAGCATGTACATACGCGCCGAGAAAGAAGGTATATATCTGAAAGGCTGCAGTTGTCTGGAAATAAATCGGTTGTGAATAATTGTACGGAAACCATGCCCTGTAAGGCAAGACGTCGGGATATTCCATTATTGATAATTGAGCTGACACAGCTCCCGAGCCGCCGAATGTGAAGGCTACTGTGTAAAAATATGTTAAATAACTTTTTAAGGTCAAGTATGATTGTTCTAAAAACTAAACCTGGAAAAATTAATGATACTGAAGTTGACAAGCATTAGAAATTTTTTTTTAATTTTATAGCAGTGTAATTATTATGAAAAAAAAATTTATAGCATTAAATTTAAATGTCACAATTTTTTTTAAGAAACAAACAAATTTCTTCAAAAAAATTATTTTTAAAAAATTGCATTTTTAATTTTTTTTTGTTATAATTTATTTGGTACAAAAATTATTAAAATAATCCAGTATCTTCTCAATAAATTTTCATGAAAAATTTGATAAAAAAATTTCACATGTAAAAATTAAAAAAAATTATAAGTGAAAATTTTTAGAAGGATTTTTTTTATTGTAATTAATTTGTTATAAAATAAAAAAAAATTACAGCTGTTAGCTAACTTTAGTATCAAAAAAAATTACTCTTTTAATTAAAATTATTCTATTTAATTACAGAGTTTATTTTTTTCCAGGACTTTTATTATTTTCTCAAACCACTAATTATTTTTATTAATTTCTCAAAAAATAAAATACATTAACTTACTTGGAGATGCTGATGTATTTCTTCAGAACATTGTTTTCATTCTGATCCTCAAGCTTGAATGGTTTTAATTCCAAAAGTTTAATTCCTTGTAAAATCATCTTCCGGTTCAACATCATCCCAATGACTTTTCCGAATGCACCAAGCTGACCCACCGTCCTGGTCAAGCCGTTTGTTAAATCGTTGACTGAACTGCTGTTTGTTACTATATCTACCAACTCAGTTAGTATAAAAGCAAAATTAGCAAATGCAACAAAGTAAGTGTATAAATTGTAGAGGAGAGACTTCCAGCCGCGCCAATCGATGGGTTGCCAGAGACCGACCAGAGTCAGTATGAAGATACTACGTGACAGGACTGCAGTAGTCATCGTATTGATTCTATTGAAGACAAGAGTGCTTGCTGGTTGTTCTAAGACTAAGTTTGCCAGTTAGAAGTCTCTGTTCTTAGCTTCACTTGCTGATTAATTATTCATTGCGCGAATTTAGAGTTCAAATTGAAGCGATCATCTATAAGAGAAATTGCGGCGATTAAGTCAATTTTGAAAATTGATTTTGGGAAGGCTGAAAATTCTAAAAAAAGCTTTGAATTATTTAGAGAACAATTTGAAGAATTAAAAATTAGAAGCTATTGTTTCCTTTGTTTTTAAATTGAAGAGATTAGTTGTCGATAGAATTTTACTCTGCGATAATCTGAAAAATATTTAATGTTTTTTTTTTTTATGTATTTTACAATATAGTTAGTATACTTAACTTTGTATGAGAATCATCTTCACAATCAGTATTACTCGGTGAAGATAAATTTTCTGATAAAATGTGATGGGATTACCAAGTTCTCTTAAAAAACTCATATTCAACAAAGTATATCTAAGTTTTATTTGTAACGATTTGTAATTATACGTATGCAAATAACAAGTACAAATTACAACAATATTTCTTTATACAATTCTTCTGTAACTATATAAAAGATTTATAATTATTATATTTTTATCAATTATCACAAAATTTTTGAGATAAAAATTGTCAAAGATGATTTTCTTATTGAAGAACATTGTAAATAGAGTAAGATAACTTCATGACCTAAAAAATATTAATTGTTAATCGTTGAAATGAGACACTTTTTGTAAATAAATAAACTTACACTTTTGAATGATTCAATAGATAGTGTTACAAAGTAACCAGACATGAATACTACAGGCTGAAATGTTTTTAGCACGATAATAATCATAGATTTTCTTGCATTTATACTCAAGTTAAACCAATCCGTGTTGTACATCCCCTCATTGAGATTTTCAAACTAAATTCAAATTTTAGTTTTTTTTATTTTTGGAATTAACTGAACGTTTATTTTAGATTTTACCTGAAGAGTCAATTGGTGCGCCGACATACAACACATAAAAATTTGCAATATTAAGCCTATAATAAAAACCATTGTGCTTACACACTCAACATAGTCCATCGGAATGCTTGAAAAATAATAAATAGCTCCACAAAGCATTATTGAACTCGAGTAGTATTGAAGAAATACAGGCTTTGAAAATATTTCGTAAACGTAATCTGCAAAACTAAAAATAAAAAATTATTATTATTATTAAATTTGTTTCATGGATTTTTTCTCCTACTAACTGGTTTTAATTTATTTAGATTTTCAAGTTAATGGCAGTTTAGAATAATACACCAATGTTTATTTATTTTATTTTATTTTATTCGCCTGTCTTCCCTCCAGACATCATCAGACATTTATTTACCATTTATTACAATTTCTATACATTTTTTCCAACGTCAACTGCAATTTTTACAATTTTTTTCTAATTAATATTCTAAATTCTTTATATAACATTAAAAATGATTGTTTTTTTATAAAATACACTTACTTGATAAGGGGCCATTCATTAATTACGTAAGGGTATTGAGGGGGAAGGGGGGTTAAGAAAATCTCTACAAGTTCTTACGTTGGGGCGAGGGGGGGGGGAGTAAAATTCATTCTTACGTAATATTTCGTGAATCAAAATTCAAGATTAAAAATCTTTCCATTTCGGATTCCAAATTGTTTTCTTAATTTTAAAGTGTACAGTTGAATTTTTATTTTATTTAAATAATTTTTGTTGCTTATTGAAAAAAGTAAAAAATAACTTATTAAAATTTTATATGTTTTTATTGTTATCCATGTTTGATTCTATAGAAAAAATTATAGTACATTTTTCCGCGTATTATCATATTTTTATTATTTAAAAAATAAAAAAACATTTTCATCTACCGTTACATCTGATGAGCTACCAATTGTCTCTGATTGGATGACAT